TAGTGCTCTTCAGATGGGGCTTGCTCTATAATGGGACTGGCCTGTGACACAGAATTCAGTATATGGGCTGGCAGTATACATGATCATACAGATCTGTAGTAAAAACTCCTATTCCAAGGTCAGATTTGTATAGAAGGGGATTGGTTAGCTCAAGAAAGCTGCCAGATGTGACCATTTTACATATCCTGCAAAAGATTTAGCAGGCAAAGCCATGAAAATACCAAAAAGCCATAAAGAAATGGCTGGCACCAAACTTTACCAAGTTAAAAAGTAACCTCAGAGTCCAGTGAAATAGCTCATTTTCCTTAGCAAGCAGGAGAATAAGAACCCAGCAACCACACCTTCCTCAGGACACGTGCTGAGCAGGTTACCCTGTGCCAAGGTGCCCAGAGCCTCATCTTCCTCACATGGCCTCATCTTCCTCACCCCTTGGGCAGGACTGTGAGCCCAGCTGCTGGAACAAGCACTGGCCACTGCTGAGCTCATCTCCTCTGCTGTGCTTTAGCAGTCAGTGAGGTGCTGTCACCAAGGAGGTTCTGCTTCTGTATCAGTCCTTTACACCCTGTTATCTCAGAGCTCTATCTTGCTTTTTGCTACGTGTTCCACTCTACATTTTCCTGCTTCCTTTCTCCTGCACCAGCTGGTCTGCAGATGGCATCTCCTGCTCCCTCACCCAGCACTTCTGGGTCTACTCAGCAGAGTGCCAGACCTCAGCAGAGCTGTAGTACTCAAGTTCTCAGCAGATTTCAAGAGAAAATCACAGTCTTAAGTTTCCCCAGTGTTACCAGACTGGAGAAGAAAGCTGCCAGCAGACAGAGTAAAGGTGATGCTTCTCCCTGCTCAAAGCTCAGGGAGCTCTTTTCCTATCCAATGGCTACAACAATAAAAATTGTTATCAATGGACAACAAAGAATCAAACTGTATCACTGTGCTGATGAACTGAAACAAGAAAGTAGTGTCAAGATTCATCTCTTTTACATTACAAGTTTCCCAAATGCTACAGGATAAAACCATAGCTTCCTACTGTAAAAATATCACCAGTAAAGGAAGTCTGTCCATGACCCAAGATCACCAGACCTTTACCTTACCTTACTGACAACAAAGAGATCCTCTCGTTTCACGACACCTTCCTTGATTTTCTGCTGGATCCCTTCCCCAACCTCATTCTCGTTCTGGTACACGTAGGCACAGTCAAAGTGCCGGTACCCAGCGTCGATGGCAGCCATCACTGCAGCTGCTACTTGCCCTGGGGGGGACTGAGAAAGTAATACCCAAGAAGCTCTCATCAATATATAATGCAGGACCTTTTTCCGAGCAAGATAAAATTAAGAAAGCCACAACAATCCCCCAGTAAAACAAGGCAAGAAACCACCAACAGCATAAA